TATCCCTTATACTTAATAATAGTGTCAATTTATTATTTAAAATGTTAAAATTCATAATTAACAAGTTTAATTAATAGATAATGATTTAATTAAGAAAATTACTTGTCGACCTTAACTATTGGACCAGTATTTAGGATGTTATTGACAATTGTATACCTTGAAGTGAGAAGAGTACAGCCGAAAAATTACTTGTGATAAAAATAATAATACCCCTGTCTCATCTCCAGCTATCACTATAATATATTAATGAAATCAGAAATATTGATTCAAAAATGGTTGTCAACTAGTTCTTTTTTAAATTAAATCATTATTAATTTAATAAGCTTGTTAATTATGTATGTTATCATTTGAAAAAATATGATGCTCTTATGAGATTTAAAAGATGAACATAAAAAATATTTTATAATTGATAAATTAAGAAAACCATGCATTTAAAAAAAAAATCTTCAATATTTTTATTTTTTGTTTAATTAAGTGATTTATGATAAATGTTTCATTCTGTATAAATATTTTTATATATTATACGTTAATAGGGATATGCTTTTTTCTAAATTATTAAATATTTTTAAGAAAAAATAATAATTAAAAATGTAAACTTAAAATTAGAATTACTAAAAGTTAGGAAAACAATTTAACTAATAAACTAGAAATAATGTTTCATATTGTATGCAAGGCCGCATTTAGGAGTTTTGACACTTGGAGCACTTAATTTTGCCGCACCCTAGCTTTTTTTTTAATCATACATTTTTTTTTAGAGTAAAATATGGAGCCATTTGATAATTTTTCATTGAATAATTGTACAAAGGTTAGAAATTTTAATAAAAGTACAATTATTTATAAATGTCATTTATTAACACAACAATAGTTGACAAATTAATGAACAATTAAAATTCTTTTCTACTTTTTATATTTGAAAAGTTTTTAGTGATATCATCATAATTTATGTTGGATGTTAAATTACCTTCAATTGACAAAAGTGCCAAACTATTAAGTTGATCCTTAGACGAACAAGATCTTAGATATGATTAGAGTAGAAAATAATCTCTCCGTTGAACAATTGCTTATAAGTGTACATACATAACAACATTCTCAAAGTTATGTCCATATAAGGGTAAATGCTTTTTAAGTTTTTCTGTCTTACATATATACAAATCTCGTAAAATGTCTTCGGTATACCATCAGAAAGGCTTTTTATATGTCTTCTAAAATGCAAACATTCATTTGTAAATGAAGGTTTTAAATCAATATCAAATTCTTTTTGTAGTTTTGTAACATTTTTAAATACATTAGATACTGAAATAGTTGTTAACCTCAAAAAAAATGTTTAGTTTTCAAGAAGAAGATCCTATGATTCTTTTCTTTTTTCAAATTCAGCTTTAATTTTGTCTAACATGACAAAATAAGTGTCAACTTTAAAAGATTTTGGTTTTGTCTAAGTAATATCTTCAGCTGGTCCTTCATCATGGAATGTTTTTCTCTTTTTTAAACGTTTTTGGTCATTTTTGAAATGTTTTACATTACTTTTTTTAATTGCTAGAGATTTTAAGTGTTCATAAGTCTTGTCAGATCTAAAATCTATTACATAAGTAATTAATGAGTTATACAGTTCCACCACAATACCTAAATCAACATTCACACACTGCAGCTTTTTACTAACTGTATTGAACCTTCATAAAATATTACCCTAAAATATTGATAAAAATCCTATTTCTAAAGTAACCAGTTTTTCTTTTATGCCTTTAGCCACAAACCGAGTATTAGGTTTGCATCATATTCAATTACATCTAAGGCATTCATAATTGAACTATAATTTTCATTTAAAGATTTACAGGCGTCTTCTCTAGCTGACCACCTGGTATATGAAAGAGATTTCACAGAAGCATTCAGAATTTCTCACCGGTGTGTTGAAGCAGAAAAAAAATTATACATATTTTGAAGCAAATTGAAAAATTTGACTGCTTTAGTACAACAGCTCACAGAATTCATACCGACCGAGTTCAAAGAGTGTGCTGCACATGGAACAAATTTTGCCATAGGATTTACTGTTTTTATTCTTGTTTCATATCCAGAATATGCACCTGCCATATTACTACCATTATCATATGATTGACCTCTAAGGTTTGCAATATTCAGTTTATAAGTTTTCAATACTGTCATATTTTCAGCTTTATGTTCAACATTATCCATAAAACGCTCAACAAGACTTCCATCTTTATTAACATAGAGAATACATAGTGATAATTGATCAATGTGTGATATATTAGGAGTTGAATCAACACTAATGAGAAATAATGAGCATCATTTATTTCTTAAATAATTGTTGACAAAACTTTTTCAGTTATAATTTTTATTATCTCTTTATATATATTACAAGATAAATAAGGTGTAAAATCTTTATCATAATTTCCATATTGTTTGAGATGTTTAGCCATAAAAAGGTCAAAGTCAATATATCAATAGCTATTAAAAAGTTGCCATTGTTTTTAAAACCAATTTTTGATGTATCCCTTTGAAATACTAATCGTCTTTATGCCAACTTTTTTACTACTGCATCAACTCTCTTCAAAATTTCAATACAATAAAGTCGTTCTCTCTCGATCTGATTAGCAAGTCCACTATCAATGCGATTAAGAGTCAACCCGCGTTGTTTCATTTTCAAAATATTAGACGGATGAGTTGAAGAATTTAAATGTTCCTTTATTTTTTTAACTACTTTTTTCCAGAGAGAAAATCCAGTCGAACCAAATGGAGATTTACAGGAAAATAAAAGACATGGATAACAAAAGAGAAATCCTTTAGTTTCAGAATACATTAAAAATTCTCTGTGAAATTTCTTTCCATTTTTTAAAGTTTTTTGAAAATAACTAATTTTACAATACCTGTTGACCATTTTTTTTATTCCTTTTACAGTTCTAGAATAGCTTCTCTTATATTTAGAAAAGTCAATTATTGATAAATCTTGGGTAAAACTATGAAAGTATATATAATTAATTAAATCTTCATTAATAGACCAAAGAGCTGGATCAGAACTAAAACAAAATGAAAATGAAAACTTAATTAATTTTTATGAAAATTTATGGGAATTTATATTTTTGTAAAATAAAATATGAAGATATTTTTTAAATATTTACGGTTGTCAATACAATTACAGATAATAACATGGGCGCACAGAGAGGAAGACAAAAGAAGGCGTTTGACCCCTCCTGGACTTTGGAAAAACAGTTTTAAAAATTATATTTAATCGGATTCTCATTGTATTTATTTTTATTGATATCTATCTAAGATAGATACAGTAAAAACCATGGAGTCAATAAAGGTAGATTATCTTCACTTTAAATTTATTTAATATATTTCTAGTGTTTGATTTAATATGCCCACCCCCTAAAAATTTTCTACGGGCACCCATAGATAATAATATACTTGCATAATAAAAATAATTATCTTAAAATAATTATTCTCATCCTGCGGACGATTCTGAAAGTTTTGATAGAGATGTTGATTTGGAAAACAATTTAGGTTGGGTTGGGTTGAGAGACATTTCCCGAAAAAACACGAAATTAGAAAAAAATGAGAGAATAATACGAAAAAGGTGTCAACATTGTTATATGAAAAATACTCGAAAATACTGCATATTTTTGTGAAATTAGTCCAGGAAAACCCAATCTTTGTCAACAACGCCATGGTATAACAGAAGACGTATTTAATAACTGTTTAACGAATTATCAATTAATTGATTTTGATTTGCTAAGGTTTCAAGAGGACTTTGTAGCTCATTACACAAAATATAAAATTGTTCATTTATAAAAAAAACTGAATTAACATACAAGAGTAAACATATGATTTTTTAAATTACTTTTTATCACTTGACTGATTTGAAATCTGTTCAGATGTAGTCTCTATCTCACTTGGCGGATTGTAGATTGATGTTCGTTGATTGCCAAAATATGAAGTTAATTTTGTAGTTTGAGAAATAAATTTTTGTTCTTTTACTAATTTTAATTTAGCCACTTTTTTAAAAGCACTACCACATAAGCGTTTTCTGTCGTCACTCATTTTAATTAACACGTTTAAATAAATAATATAATATACAAATTAAAAAAACATCTCAACACATTGAGTCCGTCACACGTAGTCGACTAATCACATTATGAGTCATCTGTACACAACACATTATTAGTGTAACACTTTTAGATAATAATGTTGTGATAAACGAGACAGATTATTCTATTATAACTTTCTTAGTATACCCATATTAATCGACTATTAACGGCCGACGACATCCACAAAACCAGTTCAAGGAAGAAAATATCAATATTTTGCTAAAAATAGATGAAAACACGAATCAAATAAATTGCTGGCTACTTCTTTTATAGTGCCATTGATTATAAATAGTACTATGTATAATCAATGCTAATACCTACCTACTAACTGTAGTCTATGTTGTTATACAGATTTAATATATCTTCTTTTACATTTATATTTTTGTGTACGCTTTAAGTTGAAAAATAATTTAGTAATATTTTTGTTAGAAATAGATAATTATGTTTCATAAAAATAAATTGATCTGTTAAAAAAAATTTCAAATTAAATAAAATTAATTAATTTTTAAAAAAATCAAATATTTGTTAAGATTTTTTCCGCCCTTCAAGATTTGCCACCCCAGGCAAGTGAGCCCAATGACCCCTCTCTAAATTTGGGCCTGATTGAATGGATAGATTTAGTTGAAAGAACATATTTAAATTGAATTTTAATTTTAATTAATTAAACATATAAAAAAAACTCAGCACACACATGTAACATAATATTAATTATAAACATTCGATTATATGATGAAAAAAGATAGATTTGATAAAATGTCTCGTATTAAATACTAATTTATTGAAAATTAGTATTTAATAAGATTTAATGTCAAAAAAGTCATTCCAAGGGGCTTTTTGTTTGAAAATATAAAATTTCAATTTGAAAATAGATAAATTATTTGACTTAAAGCACATTATTGTGTGTATTTTTTATACTAACCAATCATGATAGTTATAATTTCATCTCGAATTTGTTTATGAGACATGTTTTGGAAATTCTGTAATAAAATCTCTATAAACGTTTTGGATTTGGTTGATAATTTTTTTTGTTCTATTTCGTCGTTGTTTATACATTCCTTGTTTTTTTGAATTTCAGCTAATTTACTTTTTATTATATTGTCCGTGAATTCATTAATGATTTTATGACTACGATCATGTTTATGTTTGAGTGTAGAAAATTGAAAAATAGTTTTGTTTAAATACCAGGGATGTGTTATCCTATACTCCCAGACCTTTTTGAGATTATAAAAGTTATATGAAAATATAATTATTTTACATTATTTAAAATAAAAAATATTGTTACCAACCATCATAGTATTAAACAAATTTTCGATGAATTCATGCTTGACACCATTTTGTGCATTAAATTTTATACCAAGTGCATTTCTACCAATCATTTCCATAGTTGCGTTACTAATTGGTACACTTATATCACATCCTATTGAATTCTGATTACATTGCATATGTAGAACTTTTAATAGAACACAAGCTTCTTCATAAAAAACCGGTAAAAATGATCTCATTATTGTATAGTTAAATCCTGCGATTACCATTTTTCTAAAATTTTATTACTAATTTATTAAATTATTAATTTTTTCATCAAGTAAATTATATTTTTAAATTTTTTATTTAACCTAATTTATACCACCTTTATAATCTATCAATTTGAAATTGTATTATAGTCATAATATATGACATAAGTTTTGTAGAAACAAATTTTTGTTTTTATTATTTTTAAAATAAATAATTTTAAAATATCAAAAGAATTGGTATAAATTATGTTAATCGTTGTAATATCACAGCTATTAAACATTTGTATTTTTTTAATATTTTCGTTTTTAGAAAAAGTTGAGGTTTTTTAAAATTTTTGGTGTACTGTCTTGAACTAGATATAAAATTGGGGTTGGGTAATTTCAAGTATTTTCTTTCAAGTATATAAATACTGTATTTTAAATCTTTTTTGCTTCAGTATTTAAAATAATACTTTAAATACTTTTATAAAGTATTTGAATTTAAACAAAATATTTTCAAAATACTATTAAATTAGCCTTTTATTGTTTCTTTTGTCATCATTCAGTAAAAATAAATTAGTAATTCTAAAAATGTACAGAAATTTAATTGATATATTTCTATCTGAGTGGGAAGAGGAATACGGCCGGAAAATGTCTAGTTATAAAAATAGCATCACCCATTGTTCACCTCAAGTCTTTACTAGAGAATAGTTTTACACAATTTAATATTCATATTAAGTGTTTTTCGTTTTGTTGTACTTCTGAGGTGGGTTTAATTATGTATATTATCCTTTAATTTTCTCCTCTCTGTTTAACGCTAAATCTTCAATGAAACAAAAGATTTATAGTTCAAAAGTTCCATTTGTTATTGTAGGATATGTTAAAAATAATGTTTCCTTAGGCGTTCTCTCGGTCTCTTCCCAATTTTTCCCCTTCGAAGATGTTGATTATAAAGTCATTGTGTCGGATGATGTATCCGTTTAACTTAATTTTTCTTGATTCAATAACTTTCATCAGCTGTCTTTCATTTCGTACTTTTTTTAGCACTAGCTCATTTCTTTTCTAGTCTATCCATTTTGTCTTTGTCATTTTTCTCCATATCCATAATCTAATGCTTTTAGATTGATTCTGTTTTTCTTGTCAATTGTCCATGTTTTACTGCTATGTTGTTGTTGCCGCTATTGTGCTGTTATTGTTGTTTAAGGTGATGTCTTCTCCATGTGTTATGGGAAGGGTCGTGGTGTCAGCCTTTGTTTTTGGGCTAGCAATAGTAGTAAAGTGGGTGTAGAGTCGGTACGTGCTTTGCGGTTGGGTGCTAATGTAATTTGTGTTTGAAGAGCGTTGAGCGTCCCACCGTGTCATTAAAAACCGCAGCGTAGTTTTTCACAATCTATGTTAATAATTCGCACGTACGTGGATCGCCTGCTATATCTAATTTTGGCAGATCTATATTATTAAAGTTGTGGAGACGCTTGCTTTCCAGCACGCCATAGTACTTCGTTTCGCGCCAATATGAATTGTACAAGCAGCATAATCCCAAGAAACTTCCTGATCGGTCAGAAAATAATTCCCTAGAAGTACGTTACAGTTCAAACTATTCAAAATCACGGCCGTCAAATTAATTGTCAGATATGCGACATTCGCGGTAGAAGTAGCGGTGGGTGTTGTGTGGCTGTCTGTAAGTCTAACCGCGTGTGTGGGTCCTTTGTGCACAATTCCGTATTTATGGGCTATTGCCGGGGTGGTATATGACTTTTACCTTGTGAGTCAAGTAATGCCTTCACAAATCCGTTGTTAAATTCAAGTTCCACGGTGGGAGTTGTAATTTTACGCGGGCGTGTATGTTTGGCAAAACTAGGATGAGTTGCGGTTCGAACGGAGAGGGTATGAACGGTTTGCCCGCCGGCGGTATCAATCTCCATAAGCGGGTAGGCAGTCTCAGCTGGAATTCCCTCCCTCCTGTGCTCAAAATAATTTAGGGAACACGACTCGCGCTATTTTCATGTGATACGGGGACTTTTGTTTTCTCGGTTGCACGATTAATTTTTTTAATGACCTTGAGGATCGCGCCCGATTTCGTTATCGGCGACGAGCGAGCTGGTCGTTCTCGCTGCGCGTTGTTGTGTGTTAACGTGGTGGTGGTGGTGGTAGAAATTGTGATTGTGTGTCAGGTTAACTGGTCGGTGCTCTTCCAAGCATAGTGTACGTCCCTAACCGTTTTTCATTCTAATTAAAAAAACTGAAAAATACAAGTTGTTGTATGTTTTTGTTATTCGGAAATACGATATCAACAATCGCGAGAATATGCGCTTATGCGTTCCCGTATTAACGTCAACAATGCCGTCCGTTTGTATTTTTATTGTTATTGCTGCTATAGTGTTATACTATAACATTACAGTATAGCACTGAATTGTATTTGGGTATGGAATTACTAAGACAGTGATCGTAATCTTTATGATCGTAAAGGCAGAATTAATAATACAAACGGTTTTATGGGAACCGGCCGCCAAATGTTATATCGAATGCGTTAATACGAAGTGTGCAATATCTGTCTATCGCTGTCTTTGCAATGTAATGTGTATCAGCGGCGGCACATCGCGCGTGCGATAAAGATTGCATAACAACTGGTTAATCTACTTGTTAATATTAAAATAACTAAACGAAGTGGAATTCTATAAATTTTGCGCTATTGACAATTCATGATAACCTGGTGGGAATTCACTGCTGTCACCAGTCAATTGTGTGATTAAAATAACTTGGAGAAAAGGGAATGAGAAGGAAACCTAGCTGTCTTATATACACAAAAAAAGAGAAATAAAATAAAAATAAAGCCAATAAATGGTTTTCTTATCTAAATCCAATATAAGACCGGTTGAGATACTTACCGGGGAGCTATTTCACAAATTATAATATAAAATATAAAATATTCAATATTTTTTTCATACTAAATTTAATTCTCGTATTATGTTTTGTTTATGAATTATACTAATACATCATAAAATTAATTATTAAATTATAAATAAGGAAATAGGAGTTGATATTGCTTTTGGAATAATCCATTAGATTTTTTTCAAATTAAACACTATCTACACAGAATTGCATGGAGCGATTTTTATGATAGTTATTTTAATCACTGTCAGATCAACAGTTCTACAACAGATTTAAATGTCAATGAAAAAGAAATTTGGATATATTAAAAATTTGAAGATTATTTTTAAGATGTATCTGTTTTAAATATTTTTTCATTGAGTATCTTTAGCCTTATTTAAGATACATTTTCAAAGGATTTTTTATATGTCTGATTATTTATAAAATAAATTGGTATAAATTAAACAATTTCTTAAAAGTTTGAGCAGCTCAATTTTAAATTAAATTAAATTAACCCACTCTTGTCATTATTTTTTGTCACAGTAGATTTTGGTTTATTCTTTATCAAATAAGGTGTAGTAGGACCAAGCAATCATAGTACCTGAACATATTTTTCAGAAGTCCATTTTTCTATAGGGAGCTATTGTTAGATTTATCTTTGAGTATTCGTTTTTACAATTTATAAATAATTATCAAAGTAGAATATTTTTCACAATATATTCATGGATAAACAGGTTAATTANTCACAATATATTCATGGATAAACAGGTTAATTAATTGTAATAAAAATTATTTTTGAATTTCGTGCACTGCAGTTGCTTTAAGAATCACTTAGTACTGCTATGCTTCCGATATTGTTTTCATTATTTTATAAAGATTATATAACATATTATCTTTTAATAAATGTAAATTCAATAAAGGCATATATTTTTTTAAGAGTTTTTTAAAAAAAATACATTATAAATCTAAATTAAAAAAAAAATTGTTACTTGAATTATTTCAAATTTTGCTTACCTATTACTTTTCCATTGATTTATATTATCAATTGAAAATATTCCTTGGCCCATTATAGATTCTTGTAAAA